GGACCTGGGTTCGATTCCCAGCACCCACATGGCAGCTACAAACCGTCCTTAACTCCAGTTCCAGGGGAATCCGAAGCCCACTTCTGACCTCCATGGCATTGCACAACATGGGTGCACTCACATACATACAGGCAATACACTCATACACATAAAATATTTTTAAAAATAAATTTTAAAAATATTTATGTATATGTATGTGAGGGCATGCCACGTGTGTACAGGTGCCTTAGGAGGTCAGAGGCAGATGTCATCTTATCTCCCTGAAGGTGGAGTTACAGGTGAACCACCGAATGGATGCTGCGAACTGAACTCGGGTCCTCTGGAAGAGCAGCAAGCACTCTTAACCACTGCATCACCTCTCCAGTCCCTTTAATTTTATTACATTGAGAGAGAAAGAGAATGTGCATGCGTATGCACTTGTGCTTGTCCCATGGCCTGCATATGGAGGTCAAACAACTCAAAAGAATTGTTTCTCTCCTTCCACCACATGGGTCCAGGGGATTGAACTTTGGTCTTCAGGCTCAGTGCAAAGCACCTTAACCTGTTTTCAGTTTGGTTTGGTTTGGTCTGGTCTGGTCCTTTGGTCTGCTTTGCTTTGCTTTGCTTCAGTTCACACAGGGTCACAGGATCTCTTTATGTAGTCCAGGCTGGCTTTGAATTCAGATCCTCCTGCTTCAGCTTTCCAAATAGTTGGGACTTCGGGTGTGAACAATCATACCTAGCTTCCAACATTGCGTGTGTGTTTGTGGTATTGCAGATTGAATCTAGGGCCTTACACATACTATGCAAGTACTCTACCACTAAACTAAGCTGTATCTCCAGCCCTTTTTTTCTTTTATTAGTATTTTTCACCTTAAGACAAGGCCTCACTAAGTTGCCCAGGCTGGTTTTGAACTTGCTCTATAGCTGAGGCAGGACTTGAACTTTCATAAACTGACCTGACAGGTACATTCTTTTGAAGGGCCTGTTTTCATGATAACTGTGAACTGTTTTTCCCATCCACATCCCCTTCTCATTGAAATATACCACACTCACTGTCTTAGTGCTTGGCTGCAGGCCACACTGGGTGAGGAAGTACCTCTCTCCACCTGCTTGAGAACTTTGAGAAAGTGCTTGGCTCAGCAATTTGGCTCAATGGGTAAAGGTGCTTGCTGCCAAGCCTAGTGACCTGAGTTTGATCCCTGGGACCCCCATGGTAGAAGGAGAGAACTGACTCCCACAAATTGTCCTCTGACCTCCATTCGAGCATGTGGCTCACATGAATATGCACACACGAAATAAATTTTATTTTTTTAATTTAAAGGAAGCCCCCTCCCCCGGTAACTCAGTGTCACCCTCTGCACTACAAGCTTTTGCCTAGTCTCAAAGTGTTTATCTGCAAATCACTTTGGAAAGAGAATTGGGGAAAGGCAACCGAGAGGCAGGGGTAGGGTCAGGTGTGCTGGCCCATGCTTGTAATTCCAACACTCAAGATTAAAGTGCAAGATCAAAGATGAGCTGGACTCTCAGCCCTTGGGATGTGGAGGCAGGAGGATCAGCAGTCCAAGAGCAGTGAAGGCTTGTTTTGTGAACAGGCAGTTGAGGCCAGCCCCTGCTACATGAGACCCTACCTTTAAAAAGAAAAAAGGGAACCAGGCATGGTGGCGCACACCTTTAATCCCACCAACGCCGGAGGCAGAGGCAGGTAGATCTCTGTGAGTGTGAGGCCAGTCTGGTCTACATAGTGAGTTCCAGGCCACCTGGGGCTACAGGGAGACCCTGTCTCAAAATGATGAAAAAGAAAGCAAGAAAGGAAGGAAGGAAGGAAGGAAGGAAGGAAGGAAGGAAGAAAGGGAGGAAGGGAGGGAGAGAGAGAGAGAAAGAAAGAAAGAAAGAAAGAAAGAAAGAGAAAGAAAGAAAGAGAAAAAGGGGGTTGCTGGAGAGATGGCTCAGCAGTTAAGAGTACTGACTGCTCTTGCAGAGGACCGGGGTTCGGTTCCCAGCACCCACGTGGCAGCTACGAACTGTCCTTAACTCCAGTTCCAGGGGAATCCAAAGCTCTCTTCTGACCTCCGTGGCATTGCACGGCACGGGTATACTCACATACATGCAGGCAACACACTCGTACACATAAAATTATAATAAAGGCCAGGTGTGGTGGTGCATGCCTTTAATCTCAGCACTTGTGAGGCAGAGGCAGGCAGATCGCTGTGAGTTCAAGGCCAGCCTGGTCCACAT